CCGGTCCATCTTGAAGATAATAAAGAATAGGCTCTCCTTCTTTCATAACCAATCGACTAATGTTATATGTCTTAAGGGACCATATGGGATCGGTTGCGCGACGTAGGCCTCCTTTTGAGTTCACCGGACTGGTATAAATATCTTACCCTTACTCTATCCGGAAGTTTTCGTTCTTTGCCTCTCCTCGGTGCTGAAGATTCGGAAGATACGGATTTCATTTTAATCGCATCGGATGGTTTCTTCCCTATTAATCTCGTTACTTCATTATTCAGCGCTGATACAACGGCTGATAATCGTGTCACCCATTCGGTTGATCTCAATCGCTCGGATTTAATTTCGATCCCATACTGATAGCCAAACAAACGTTCCGCTAATGTCCTGTTAAATCTTTCGACGATAGCTTGACTGCGGTGGGCCTCTCTTTCACCACGCCTGATTTTGACATCGTGCTTTGTTAACAGTTTAGTTATCAATCCCATAAACTCGCGACCGGGATCTACTTAAAATAGCTTAGGCCATTTTAGCTACTTCTGTTGAATCTTTCGAGGTTAATAGCTCAGCCTCTTTGTATCGACTAGCCACATCCACTACCGTTAAAGCGTATTTATACGTTTTGCGTCTTACCTTATCGTGGGGAAGAAACAAGAGGTCAGCCTGATGAACTTCATTTGTTGTAAAAATATCAAACTTCTTCTTCGGTATAAAACGCGGTGCCGGTAAATATATTTGCCACATCGCTTGTTTCTTTAACCAATCCTTGGCTACATCTTTAGATACCTTAGCCGCGGTGGCTAATTTTTTTATTGCTCCTATACCTTTCCAATATCCTCGTGGGCTATAGTAAATTTTATTCATTATTAATTAATATTGATGTTTCTTTTAATACAACTCATGACTATCGTTGAATCGCATGATCATTTTGGCATAAAAAATTCCCTCTGTAGTAGGTATAAAAAATCTGGCTCCAGTGGGGTTGCGCCAGAACCATCATTACCTATAAAAATTTATATCATAGACTCCAGGTGGTGGTGAGCTGGAGTCAATTTAGTTTAATCTCATGACTATCGTTGAATCGCATAGTCATTTACACATAAAAAATTCCATCTGTAGTAGCAGTATAGGTATATAAATCCAGCCCCAGTGGAGTTGCGGCAGAACCATCATTACCTATACTACTGGACCTATTTGCAACTTGCCTCAACAACAAACTCCCAGTGTATGTCAGTCCAGTTCCTGATCCTCAAGCCCTGCAAGTGGACACATTATCCTTGAGCTGGAAGGGGATGCTTGCTTACACCTTCCCTCCATGATCTCCTCAAGAGTGAGGATTGGAAGACACGGATTTCTTCATGATTCTCAAAGTTCCAGTTTGGCCAAGCAGGCAGTAGTTTCCCAGGCATTTTCTGCTTCTCATGAAGGAACCACACAAACTACCAAGCGCCACAATCTTCTTCAGCAGCCCTGATCAGACATAATTACGGGATCCACAGCCTTCATCTTAACACAATGAAACTATCACTTCTAAAATGCAGGCTTCCTGCATCAGAAGCACTGGTGCAATCTTGGAGGCCTAATTCAACTGCCATTGGTGACAATAGATGGGACATGTTCTGCCAGTAGTAAAGAAGAAGTAGAAATGATGACCTCCAGCTTGACAATAAGTTTTCGTCATGGTACTATTGAAAGGTCAAGAATGCAGTATACCAGACACCATTATAGTGCAAAATCATCCAAACTGTCATTTGTAATATTTTTGAAAATCTGGATGGGTGTAGGGCAAGGTTTTAATAACTCACTGTACCTCCCATGTGGTTTGTAGGCCCGAACAATAAGTGTCAGGAAAGCTGTGAACTTGTCATGGACATCCAGTTATTTCCTCAAGACAAAAATTATTGAGGTCATCCATGGTGCCGCTTCACAGTAGGGACCGTTTCAATGCACCCCCATGATGACTCTTATCGTGTTGATGTGTGCACCAGGCTCGGGGTCTTTGAAGTGGAGTGAATGGTTCAAGGTCAAGTGATGAAAGTCATGTGTATGCTTTCCAGCAGTCACTAATGATAGTTGTGCCAGGTTTGATATGTTTCACAATTATTGGTTTCAGAGTTTCTGAACTTCTTGTGTCCACACATTCGAAGAAACAAACACTTCATACTTTCCCATTCGATCCTGCCAAACACTCACTTCCCTTGCACACGTTTACCTTTATTGTGTTTTCTTTCCGCATATTTTGATTCATCTACCTCAATGTTTTTTTTCCAATTCCCCCAATCTGCTCACTGTCATCCAATATTACCACACATATTTCAAGACAGAAATTAAACCAGTCAACCGTGGTGTGAGATGATGAAATTTCTAGTTCTCTCCACGCAAAATCCTGGGGTAACTTGTACACCCAATAACAGGTGATTAGAAGTTTATATCCCAGTGACAATTTGCTTCCTGCAAGCAAAGAATTATGCTGAATTGAGATTTTTTGGCACAAGATTTGCAATTACATCATCAGTAAACACCATCACTGCTGTGGGATTTGTCTTTGCACAAATAAAACTTTCCTACTTCACATTTAGCAAAGATTTTACCCTCCCAAAGTCATTCACTCTGAGGAATCGTAGTAATTCTTCTTTATCGTTCATAAATGCATAGATATTCCAAAGTTTGATGCTTTGCTCATGAATGCTGAAGAGTCATTGTAATCTGTCCAAATATGGTAGTAACTAAGGAGTGACATCATGCAGAAAATCAATTACCTGTAAGACAATTCTCACGCTCGTCTGTTCCTTTTCCCATCATGCTTAGTGTACAATTATAGGGTGATTTAGTCTTGTGTAAGCCCCTTTTTTTTAATTCAATATGTATTCTTTTGAGGACAATATTTGTAGTTTAGTTATGCTTAATCGGAAGCGATCCAAAGAATCAGATTTTCATTTCAGTATTTTTTTTATCAGATTAATATGTTTCACCTACATTTGCTCGCGCACATAATATTATAAGAAAGCATCACATGACCTGAGTAAATATGGCGTGAGGGTGACCAGTTTAATGCATGTGTACCACAGAAAGACCTACACATAGATCATCTGTAGCCTCAGTACTTCAGCATGATGGACTGATAGAGATCCTTTTTTCTTGAAGATAGCAGAACTCCATGTGCCGCTATGGAATTTATCTGTGGAATTGTCTGCTTTGATTGAGAAACCATACGTACCATTAGCACGGGCATAGGAGTTCTATATCTATCGGATCTCTCCCAGAAGTTATAGCCAAGAATCAGTCGTCAGCTGTAGGGCTGCTGTGACATAGACTTTATCATGTTTATTGCTTTCCTGCTTAAGTAAGACAACTTGATTGACTACTGTGTCCAGTTGAGCACTAAGAATTGGTTGGTTGATCATTTGATAATTATTGTCCACTGTGAGTAGGTCAGATCATAGTTTAACATCTGGAATCACATTATGAGATCTTGATGTCAGCTCCACTGTAAGTGATGTTATTGGAACCAAACATGATATCATCAGTTCCAGAAGTGGTATCATAAGAATGCAGATATAATTGTAGTTCAGTGGCAGTTATCATGTATTTGCTTATATTCTAGACGTCTTCTGACTTTTTGAGGTCATTCAGGTTTCCTGCCTTGCACATGCACAGGAGCACTGGGCAGTAGAAGACTATTATCTACACAACTAATTATGGATAGTTGACATTAAAGAGGACTTCTGTTAAAAATCTAATATTTTGTAAAGTGTGATGACAGCCAAAATACAGGAATATGACAGTGATGTAATAGAGATAGTATTATTGATTGATTTCTGCTGATTTTTTACATTGTACATGTTGTGTCTGCCGAAATCTGTTTAAAAGTCTGCAAATGACAGACTGGGACACATTGAACACATTGGCTACCTCTCACAGAGTTCTTCTAGTTTGAAGCATGCCAATATCCCTCAGGCGTTCATCACATGTAGACAATGCATTCTCCAATCTGATCATAAATTCTGCATTAAACAAGAGTAGGAAGTTTACATGTTACTTTGGATAATGAAAATCAACAATACTAATGGCTCAGAGAGGTTTGACATCCTTTCACTGAAATGTCAAAATCAAGACTGATCCCATACCCATGTGCATGGTGCAATTGCATGGTCCCATGTGCATTGTTTTGGTTATGTTGGAGCATTAGGATTTGGTTCTTTGGCAGTCATTTTTCAAAGCTGGCAACTAATCGTAACATTTATATGTCATTATCCCCTACTTTTGGTTGAATGTAACTACAAGCATGGGTTGGATGAGGGCCTTTTTGGCCCACTGGAAGTTTCTAAGTTATATTTGCAGAAAACTTTGAAATTTTGGCATGAAAGTTATGGTATTCAAATGGCTGACAAGTGTTATTTCTTTCTTGTTTTTAATTTCTGAATTTTCAACCTTTTTAGATACATTATTACCTATGTATCTAATGTTGTCATAAGTCCCAAATAGGGAATTGTTAAAAAAAATATTTCTAATTTCTAATTTTCATTCAGCTGGAAAGTTATGTTATTGTTTCAAAAGATTTTATCATTTCTAACATTATGCATATCCCATGGGCCAAAGAGGGCCCTAATAATACCTAAAATGTCCTTTGTCTTGCATTGACGATATGGTATGACTTTAAAATTTGTATTATCATTAAACTGGAAGTGCTTATTTTATGATAACTTGAGGCAGTTTGAGGTTTGGATTATACATATTTTATTCGCAAAGAATAGGGGATTGGGTACAAGTTCTCCCAAGAACAAAGTTGTACCACGTTAGACAACATAAGGGATGAAAGATGAATATAGATAAATATTAGTGAAGTCAGCTGTCACCGGATTAGATAATGTCAATATGATTCATGATAGATGTTTCTGATGGGAAAGTTTTGGGTCATGCAGGAAAAGGTGGGGATGGGTCTAGTTTTGTTTTTGCATAAAATGCTAACACCTTTCTTGTTGTGATAATACATGTACTTTCTTCTGTAGGGGTGTTTGTGGGCCTTGGTCTGAGTGGAGTTATACCGGCGCTGCATTATGTTATCACTGATGGTTTCTACCATGCCATCAACTTTGCTGCTCTTGGTTGGCTCTGTCTGATGGCACTGCTCTACATAGCAGGTGCATTCATTTATGCACTCAGAATACCCGAAAGGATATTTCCTGGCAAATTTGACATCTGGGTAAGTAACTTGGGCCTTGTATTATTTACTTGTTTTACGGAAACTTCCATAATATTTTTTCCAAATTGCTTGTGTGGGGGAAACTCAACTGGTGGGAAAAAAACATTATTTCTTATCATGCCCCAACATATTGCAATTTCTTTCTTCACTGTCGCCATATAACACAAAATGCCTTTTCTACATTTGCCGATCGTTACCAATCAGTTATTTGATGCCTCATATTGCACAGAGGATATACATCTGCTTGCTGTTTTGGGGAAATATATTCTTTGACTTTGAGATAATAATGTATATAATACATTTTAGAACAAAACTTCACCGATACCTTCCTAGTAGACCCTTTTGCACATGGTTTTAACTAAAACATGTGGCAGCCAGGTTTGACCGTCTTCCCGAGAAATACAGTGATGAACTTCTGAAATGTCTTTTTAATAACTTAAGCATCTGAAAGACATCAATTCTACACATCACTGCAATTTTTAAGGATTCTGGATTGTTTTCCTTTAAAACAAGTAATTAATGTGGACTGGCCTAGATGTTAAGTTTTAGCTCACCTTGACATCGTCAATGTAAGCTTATGTTATGGATTTCGTCCATCAGTTAGCCCTAAAACTGACAAATCTCTTCTCAATATCTATGGATCATATCAATGTCATTTTCACATGTTCTATGTCGCAGCTTTTCAAAATGCTGCAGCAGCACATTTAGTGATATGAAAAACAGCCTTGGGTCCAATCTCTTCTAAGAAACCACTAGACAAACTGTTTTCATATTTGGAGAGGATGTTCAAAATATCCTTCTTCACAATGAAGTAAGGTTTGCATTTTGACAATTTAAGAATATTGTCATGGTGCTTGTTGGAAATAGGGTGTTTTTGATGAGTTGAATATCCAGTTTTGTCTGCCGCATGCTGTACTTGATATATATATACTCTAAGGCACCCATGTGCAAAGTCACTTTTGCTTTGTATGAATATGTCCTGAAAGGAAATCGCTTCATTTAAATGCCTTACCGATGGAAATGGTAAATATCTATTTTAAACTAGCTAGTGTGGAGAGATAGTATCTGTAACATGAGTAAAATCACTTGGTTTCCCTTCTGAAAAAGCTTTGATTTGACCAGTAACATTCTCACAGCCAAAACTCTCAGCCTCATTCTTGAAATATCCCAAATTGTGGTTGTGATTGTCAACATTTGGTATACTGTCAAGGTCACTAGTGTTCAAGTTATAGAAGTTATAGGTTATTTACTCATGAAATGAGAAACAAAAGCATTTCATAAGAGAAGTATTGTCAGATCATATGGAGATTTCATAGTTGTCATGTAAAGTTCTCACATGTGATTGGATGATGTTGAAGGTCAATGTTTCTGAATGTGAAGAAGCATCCGAAATAGCTTATGTACACACTATCTTGAGCATTTATGATTGGAATGAACTAGAGAGTTCATGGGCAAGGTTGAAAGTCATGGTCATTAAATCGTAAGTGCTTATAACTTTGTTATTAACTTTTTGTTTCAAAATTGTACTGCATTGGACATTTGTTAACCCAAACTGGGAGAGATGTTATTAATCCGGACTCTCAGTTTCAAAGCTGTCCTGCATTGGGCATCATTTCTGTTCCAAACCAAAAGTGATGTTAATAACCAGGAAGTGTTTGTTACTTTCTTATTAGGGTAGCTAGAGGCATTTCTGTTTCAAACTTGTGCTTCATTGGGCATGTGTTTTCCCAAACTGGAATGGCAAAATGTTAAACATTGTTATTAAGGTAGCTATGGGGCATAGTCTTGCCTGTTTCTCACAATTATGATATCAATCGGGCCCCTTAGTAAGACATCTAGAAGCATAGAACAATGTTTATATGTTCCCATGAAAAGCATGGTGGTGTGTTATAAATGATTTCCTAGGTTTTCATGGTATGACAGTGAAGGGGCTGCTTCTGTGTTTGCAAGTACTTGCAAACCCTTTTCTACTTCCAACAGTACTTAATGTAAAGAATCAGCTAAATACAAAAGGATACAATTGTAGTAACTTTAATTGGCTACTGCATTCTTATATAATTTGATGAATGACATGTTTCAGATTTCAGTTAACATTTTTTTTATGGTTTCAGTTTCAGAGCCACCAAATCTTCCATATATTTGTGGTGGCAGCAGCGTTTGTACACTATCATGGAATCTCTGAGATTGCCAACTACCGCCTTACACGAGGGGACTGCCTTGAGACCGAGATTGAATGAGCACATTGGAGAAAGTCATAGTTTGCCATCTATATAAGTTTGTGACAGGGGATTGGAGATAGCAAGACAATTCAAATTGGGGTTGACTAGCAAGTCATCTTGATACTGTAGCTTCAATTTTGACAGCTACCTGAAAGGAGGTGGAGTGTTTGAAATGATCATCTCTGGTCATCTAGACTTTGTTGCCTTCACAGTTTATATTGAGCCAAACTGCGCCTCACTTTGCTGTCACTTTTTGAGGATTATTTATTGTCATAAAGGGAGACAAATCAGTTTGAAACTTGCTTTGAGTGTGTTTGAATGATACCTAGCAATTGGCTGAAACGGATACCAAAAACATGCTTGAATACAGTAATTAAAATTATTGAAGTGTCTGAAATTAAGATTATCAGCTTTTCTACAAGACGTGTCATTTAGATAGTGATTTTTAGGGTCATTGGGCAAGGGGTCAGGCTATGGCCCAGGTTGTCCTGAACCCCATAACATATGGTATGTCAAGTGTGCCACTGTTATGCCATTTGTTTAAAAAAAATGTATATATTTTCCTTCATTAAGGTAAATGTCCACACATAGGACCTGGATTATAACATTTTTCATTAATTTCTTATTCTACTAATGGCCATCATGGTTACCATTTTATGACCAATTATTTCTGCTTACATTACTGTGTAGGTTTGTATGTAGATAGTGGGTTGTTTGGTCGGTTGTCCGTCCACCTGGCTTCCATCCATACCTATCATATCTGCCTATCTATCAATGAATTACAGTACATATTCTCGGCTAACCAGGTCCGAAGGCCCAAGTGAGCTTATGGCATGGCAACTTGCCCGTCTGTTGACTACTTCTCCGAAACTGCTGAAGGGAAGTGCCTTGAACCATATTAAGAAATAGAGAATTGTTCATGTCATTAAAATAAAATAAGAATTACCTCAGCTGGCTGAAATTTCATATGTCTCAAGTTTGTGGTTTTCAGTATGACATAGAGTATGCAAATTTTTTACTAATAATGCATTACTTCTTAATGTATCTGACGAAATTATGCAGGATAAGTACACAAATGTAATAAAATATTTCGATTTTACTAATTTTGGCATCTCTGAAACGGCAAGACCTATTAAAATGAAACTTTGAACGAATGATTTTAGGTTATGGTGCTTTGTACAAGTGCTCACATAAGGGCTCACTTAATACTGATTTGATCTTATACATGGACACGGTTAAACCTTCACAGCATTATAGTTAGTTTTACCTCAGTGAAAATGCTGTCATGGGCAATAAGAATCTAAGTAGGTGCAAAATAAGAAAACTATATCTTGGACCCCACACTAGCCTTCCACCATATTTCATCAATTCGTCTGCATACAATGGGGAGCAATGGCAAAATGTAGGTTTTTGATGGCGGTTTACCATGGAAACTGACCTTGACTTTGAAAAGAGTTGTTTCGTACAACAATAGGTGATGCTTTTGGTAGGAGTGTCCATGGAAAGTTTCACCATTCTGCACCTTTTTATAACAAGTAACAAGTGCAACAAATTCATGCAGGCCCAAACTGTCCGTGGACAGTAGGCCTGCATTTTCGACAATTTGACTAGTCTGTCTGTTACACCTTGTCTGATAATAGCCATTACACACCAATGGTTGTGCGTTTCAATCCTGGTTCCCCAAATTTATTTCTAGGTTTGTCACAGGTTTGTCACACATCATACCCATGCTCAATATGTTTCACCAAAGTTGTAAACGTCTCACACCTGCATCACTTCATGCTTTCCTCCCATATTCAGCCATGTAACTAGAATACTTGTCAAAGCGGTGTTAAATCCAACTCACTCACTCCCTCAAAGCCATAACATTTGTTATTGCCATTGAGACAAGGCTTACCCATGGAGCAAGATGCCCAGATCTCAACGTAATTGAGCACTTGTGGTCGTCGTGTGAGACCCACCAATACAAACTGTACAGGAACAGGAACATGCCCTTCATGAGGAATGGAACAACATGCCCCTGTTCTGATTTAAGCGTTTGGTGACCTCCATGAGTAGGCATGTTGTAAAGGTCCCCAGATCATGTGGTGCTTACACCAGCTTTTGAAACCGACACAGAGTGTGTGTGTCAGAAGATTTGCCAACATGTAGACAAATAGGACCAAAAAAATTACGCATGGACACATACATAAATTGGGTTAAAAATAATTGAAAACTTTACATTTTTTTTTAAATGTGAAATAAAGGTGTGCTAATTTATTATTGAGTTAGGGTGCAAACAAACATCACATTCTATTTAAACTCAGTTATATTTCATACCTTCAACATACAAGATTTTCAGTCAATGTAAAGATAACACATTATTAAATTATGAGTGGTGCTTAATTTTTGCACAGGTTTAAGCAATATTTCTATGATGGATTGTATTTTCAAAAGGTTCTCTTTGACCTGTGACATGGAATACATGAATTCAGTTCATGAAAATGCAAAATATTTTTTAATAAATAATACATTCACACATAACAGTAGAACTGTATTTGTAGTATGCAACAGTCACTCTTGTATCACCACAACTTTGCTTTCAATTTGTCTATGGCTGAGATGGAGGCCAGAGTCACTAGACATGAAGTGCTAATACTTTTGTTGTGAAGTAGTGGCATGGGACATTTGGTTTCAAAGTTGTACTGCATTGGGTATGTGATTTTGAAAACCAGAAGGGATGTCATGAAACCAGTGCATATAAAATTGTTATTAGTTGAGCTGGAGGCATAGGACTTAGTTTTACTGCATTAGACATTATTTTACCAAATGCTTTGATACTTTACAGGAATGTTGCCATATATTAATAATAAAAATATTACACTCACATTTTTCTGTCCTTGCATCAATCAGACCACGGTACAAAGTCGCACTTCCTTTGTTTTCACAGCTGAAGACTTCACTATAAAAACATTCAGGTCACTTTGAATGTATGTGGTGAGCAACAGTGCCTTAGTGCTAATTTTGCCACTTTATGGAGCTCACTATGGGTAGATGCACATCCCTTGAGCTTGGCAGGAGGTGCAGGTCATGGGTTAGAATTTCAGATTTGCCTTGGTTTTCATTCTCGTTCTATGAGTACCACACATTGCTCACACATTCAGTTGACCTGCTGAGATGTGACTGAAATGTTTATTAAAATACCATATACCTCACACAAGATTATACCTAAAATGTCAAGTACATTTTTTTCAGACAAGTCACTCAAAGACCTTCAGTTAAACAATTAGTTAAATATATATGGGGACATTTAATTCTTTTTATAATTTTTTCTCAGAACCCACAAATTCTGTGAGACTCAAACTGATTCGCCAGCTTGTGCATTTATCAAAGTGTACCCCGGTAATTTAATTTCGAGATGGGCAAAGTGTTATGTCATAGACGTTTTCACTTCTTTGTGGACCTTTGCATTGGGATAACATTGTATTTTGGTTGTTATTCATTTCCCTGATATTTTCACCATGACCGAAATGTGTTTATGGTTTTTCTTATAGTATATCTTATGTGAATGGCAGGATGATGCAGTAAACTAAACATAGCAGAATAAAAATGCTACCGTATTCGACGTAATAAGCGCCCAGGGCGCTCTCAAAATTAGAAATAGGGGGCTCTTTTTAGAATATTATTTTGGTGGAAAAAAACAGAGTTACAGAATAAATTTCGTGGTTTATGCTGACAGCCTGAAATGTTTATATACGACAGATATATTTTTCCAGAATTTAATTGCCCATAATTTAAGGTGCATATAACACACGAAAGCCTATTATACGCGAATAAATAAGTCTTGTGTACATGATCAATCGGAAGGGGTGCTAATTGGGATTGTTCACTAGCTAATATATTAGCAAATATCGCCGTGGGCGCTTATTAGAGCGGGGCGCTTATTACTTCGAATACGGTATATTCTCATTTTCAGCTCATCTGACTGAAAGTAATGTGTGCTTGTGGAGCATTGTCCACCATTTGTCATTAACTTCAATATTTTCTACACCTAAAAAATGCTCATGAAATTCTAATCTGACTTGAAATTAAAAAATGTTTGCCCAACGCTCAGCCATTTCTGCACATATCACTATTAAATTTGATATATAGTATTTTTGTGGTATGACAAATAAAACATGTTATATTTTATGGTGTATTGTGATATTTGTCAAACCTTATTCAACTTTTGACCTTTATGTCCTGTTTGTGACTGCCAATTGTGCCAGGGGTAGTCATGGTGGACATGCTGTTTTATGGCACTCTGCATGGCCAGTTGTGCATGTAGAATTGTGTCAGGGGGATTATGTGTTAGAAACTTCTTTTGCTTATCCTTCTTTGCACTATCACCTTTCTGTTATACTATTATATTTAGAAACAATTTCAGGTGGGCTAAAGAGCCTTGTGGCTTATATTGTTATATGGCATCCAGTCCGAAGGTTGTTCTTATGTGTAAGGTTATGACTATTATTACTTGGAATGGAGAAGTTAACTGAATGAAGAAACAAAGCTGTTATTGAGTTATTGATGTTTTTAATGTGTGCAGGTAACCGTTTCAGCCCTACTATTTCTTTTTCTTGTGGACCTATTCCAATTACCATGAAGTCAAAGTTGATTTTATCCTATTTGTAGACAAGTTATACTGTACATATGAACATGTCTGTGTGTTCCTGTTGTTGATAGTGTGCTTCTCAAGAGTGTTTGTGTAATGTGTATGAATGTTTGATTGAAACCATCCCTTTCTATGTTGTTATTCTGTAAATATGTTATATATCTTTTTCTCATCATGTTAATTTATATTTGGTGCTCTTTCATTGGTGTAGATATATGCATGTTGTAAATATGATTGTACACACTCCCAGCATTTAAAGAGTAGCAATAAAAAAGCGGAGAAGTAGTTTGCTCTCCCTTTATCAGATAAGGTTGTTTGTGTGTGGAACACCACAGGAAGTACTGTGTAGTTGTGTACCGCAGAAGAGTGTAAATAGTGTTATCTAATCATTCTTTCATGTTACTCCAGAGAGAGACAGACAGACAGATACACACATGCTCTTACACTTCATTATTAACATCCAGTATTCTTAAAGACTAATCTGTTTTCTGTATAGTTTATGGAAGATTCAATTTTCAATTTCTAATTTTAAGCTCACCAGACTGATAGTCACATGAACTATGTCATACCCTGCTTGTCCAATATCCATTGTTTGCATCAGAGCCATCTTTCTGAAAGCATATTCTCAAAGCCATGGCAGCCATATTGGATAAACCTTCTGACTGTTACTCAGTCATTTCCAAATGTAAAGCTATTTGGTACATGTGTAGTTAATAGTGGGGTTTAATATATATGTTCTGTTTCTACAATATTTCAGCTGATACTTGATTTGATCTTTGTGTCTGAACAATGCTCTTAAAATCTCTCAAAATCCATATTTGGCTCTATCAACTTCTCTTTTGAAATTGCCAGAATGAGGGACCAAGACTTTGTGCTGTATGTTCCTGCTTCTGATGACATCATGTTGGGCAGTAAATGTTCGAGTATCAATGCTGACAATTATTTTGATGAGGCTGTCTTTGTTGACATTTTATATTGATTACATGTCCTTGTGAGCAACAGTGCTGTGGCATTATTTTCTCTCACATAAGTTCATTTATTCATTCATTCAATCAATTTGGGCAAATGTTATTTCTACAAACAGAAATGAAGTGACATGGAAGTGTGAAAGTAAGAATGACTGTAAAATGTTTGTAACATTTGATTACAGTATGTGATAATAATAGAGATTGTATGAACATAAATAACACAGCTGAGTGAGACTAGGCTGATCTGTGATAAATGTCAAAAACCTGAAAAAGGAGAGGGAGTAAAGACACTTCCCAACACTGTCTGATTAATGTGTTAGTGATATAAATAATCATTCCAAAATAGCTGCTCTTTGTAGTCTTCCAGTAGAGCCCACTGCTACTGGTAAAGCTTACTTGGTCCAAAATCCTCTGGGGATTCCAGGGAAGAAAAGATCCCAAATATACACATTTTTTGTTAAAAGAGGATCAGGTGTTCAGACTTGGTGACCTGGCTGATTGAGTATCATTGTGCCCTAAGGGTGTTAAGTTGCTCATTCTTTCAGTCACTGGTTTGTATGATCCAGTCTTTGTCCTGTCAGTTTGTCCAGGCCACTTTGATGTAACTGGAACAATGCTGACTTTGTCATTTATCAATTTTCAATCGTACCAGTGTACCTGGTGGGTTTATGTCAGGACATGTTGTTGTTCTACCTGAGCAGTACTGTCATTTGTTTCAAACTATTAATCCGTTTGGAATTACTAAAGAGGCATCCTCGATTATCCAGTGTATGATATATCCATTCTGTTAGATGTATACCTTAGACCCATTTGCCACATTTGCCACCATAACTTTATTTTTTGCACAGAATGTCTCTTGCTCATGAGTTTGATATGAACAACCAATCAAATTGACTCTTCTGGGCTTGAGTTTGGAATATATGAGATCTATATATGTTACACCACCTGAAGCGGAGGTGTCTGAAATAAATAGTAATAAGTAATGATGATCAGATCCGTGTCATTCATTTATTCGGTTTTGTACAACATGGCGACAACAGAATTCATTGTGATGTCATATGCTGAACCTTACGTTACGTCATGCCTTTACACAGCTACATTATCAACCGTCTGTGGATTAACATCAATTTCTTATTCAATTTTAGCATTAAACACCAGACAAAATACAACCAGTTCTGAAGGGCAAATACACTTCCCAGCAAACAAAATGTCATCTCGAGTTTCTAGACATGTTTACATTTCCGCTGAACTAGAACTGTTAAAATCACATAGTCATCAAGTATGATGTTTACCACCCAGCACTAATCTTGGACAATGCAAATGATGATGATGTTCATCCTAAACACTGCAAGGTATCCCCTTTTCCCAAATCACCTTGTCTACATTTTGAGCAAACACAACTGTGAAATATATAACTTTACTGCAACTAATATGGGTGATCAATCCATTTAAATCACAGATGCTATGACAGCACTATTTACAGTTTGTTTCAAAACAACATGAATCTGTTCCTCCCAGTGTGAGCGGAGTTTGCCAGGACCACCTCTCTGCTTAATATTCCTCACCAGTACACGGTCACTTTGTTTCAAGACAGTCATGAGCCTTCATGTTGTATTGATTCTGTGATTTCTCAGACAATTGCTTCACCCCTTCAGCTACAAGGTCATAGGCTTGCTGCATTGTTTCACGCCAGTCTTCTGCAAACTGTTGATAGATATTTCCCTGTACTTCACCTTCTCGTCCTAAGATTACACCTTACATTCACACTTCGCAAGAACATACTCTTCAATGTCAGGTTTCATATGTGGCCAAAGAAATTTTTGTCTTGCAAGAGCCACAACTCTCTCTGCTCCAATGTGCCCTATCTCGTCATGAAACTCAGTATAGACCAGTTGTCTGTATTCCTTGGGCAACACTAATTGCCTATCTTCGTGTCTTGCCAGAGAATGCATTTGTGGCAGAACTTGAGATTACCCTACTCACTCATGAAGGCATTGGTTTCAGGTCAAACATCTCTATGATCTCTCGCAGTAGGATGTCTTCCAGAACTCAGGTACCCAATTACCCGACTGATGCCTGGGTCTTTTCTCTGTGAAGACTAGATATCGGATGTAGAAAGCAGTTTCCTCATCATTGTTCACTGCAGATATCTAGACAATGGTTCCAGCCTCATTGTGCTCCACACTTTCCCTTGACATTTCTGCTGGATAGTCTTTTGTAGCTACCTCAATGTCCAATGGAAAACAACACAAGGTATCTGCACTGCTCTTTCCTGGTCAAAATCGAATTGTGAAATTGTGCCTTGTGGTGACCATTTTTGTTGAGGTCAATATGTAAGTTAGTCAGTTATTGTCACTAAACACAAGGAAGCTTGGTGCATAATAAAGATAATCATGAAAGTGATCTGTGGCAGGTCATTTCAGAGCTAGGAACCCTAATTTGCCAGAATGCAGGTGATAGTTTTGCTCAGCCTTGATCCAAAGTGACAACTTCCAACTTGTCATTGGCTTTCTGGTACAACACTGTCCCAAGACAGTGGATGCATCGGTGTGCACAACAAAAGGCTTATCAAAGTCTGGGTACATCATCACTCAGTCATGATCAGTCAGCATTTTGTTAAGCTCAGATAATACCTGCTCATGGCTCGGAGTTATTGTTTTTGATGCAAGCTGTCCCATGTTTCCCTTTGTCTTGGATGTTTGTTTCAACTTTGATTTGGTCTTCCTGAGTTAACCAAACTGTAGCAGGAGACATGGCTTTCAAGCTTTGTTCTGCTTCTTTGTCAGCGGGATCAACTCGATATCCTTCCTCTGATAATAGAGTTCCAAGATACTATATTTTTTGTTGAAATAACTCACACCTCTTGGGTTTGAGTTTAATGCCCTTTGATTTCAGTCTCTGAAGCACAGTTCTCGCATCCTTGAAATGTTCATCAAAAGATAAGCTAAAGACTATCACATCATCTAGGTATGGAATCCTGTGACCTGACGAAACATTCATTTATGAATTGTTGAAATGCAGGTGCATTTGTGAATCCAAACTTGATCTTTACCCACTACATGGTGTGATGAAAGCAGTCATATGTCTGAAGTCTGGACTTACAAACCCCTGGTGATAAGCTTTTGACTGGTCCAACAATGAAAACCATGGGTTTCCTCCTAAACTCTCAAGAGCATCACAGATTCTTGGAATTGGTGGTCTGTCCTTCAGCACGTTCATAACCTTCAAATCTAATTGGCGGTAGTCACTGCAAAGTCTCTGACTGGAGTCACAGTTTCTCACACATACTACAGGCGATGAGTATGGAGACTTTGACCTGGTGATCCATTCCTTGTCCAGTAAATCTTGAAGATAATCTTTTTGAAGTAGCTTAGGTACTGATGAGTATGTCTTTTGCACAGGTTCCTTGTCGGTTAGCAGGGGCACGGGAGGCCCAGTCGTCTAAAGCGCCGCGATTCGTTGTGCAGAGTTGTGTCCCTTGGACATGCCAGAAACCTATGATTGTGGGTTCGAATCCCGGTTCGCCCCGATTATGTTTCTAGGTTTGTCAGCACCATACCCATGCTCGTGGGTTTCACCGAAGTGATAAACTTCTGAGACCTGCATCAGTTCGGGCTTTTCCTCCCACATTAAGCTGACACGCCGCGATATAACTGGAATACTGTTAAAAGCGGCGTTAAACCCAACTCACTCACTCACTCACTCACCTTGTTGGTTAGCACAATATCTAGTTCCAAATCTGGAGCATAGCCTACTACATCATCGTTCTTCGAGAATGATGCTGATTACTCATGAAGCATTTTACGAACAACCTTTTCTTCCTCAGGTGTGAAATCACTTTCGGACAAATCAATATCTGGTTCTAACTTTTTTGCTCCCCATTCTGTGTGTGAATTGTATTTACGGAGGCTGAAACCTTCTTGCACTTCAGAGGAATGACTGATCTCACAGGCTTTAATGATCCAAGAGAGTTCTAGGCTGCAACACAATGTCATGGTTAGTCACATTTTCAGTATATATGGTGTTTTCTCTTGGATGAGACGCTCTGGTAGCATGACAAGTGATTCAGAAAACTGTAAAACTCTGGTCTTTGAAAGGCATTTAGAAGTGATACACATAAGGAAGAGAATATATGGATGGCAACTTCTTTATTATGAGGAACACAACGTTTCGGAGTATATGCTTACTTCTCTTCCTTATGTAAAACTCTGGCCATGGTGATTCCACATTTGGTTCGAACAAACCATGCCGGTTTTCCTGTGCCACACACTAACCCAACTCTTCAAAGCAGTTGACCCTTGTGAATCTCATTTCTACCGGTCCGTAACCTTCACAGTGATTCATCATCCTGCTCTTTCACAGTGTATACCGTGTTTTCAATTTCGGGCAAAGCACACTGTAACACTGAAATAACAGACTGACCAGACATATTACCACCTGTACCATGCACAAGATTTATAATCTCAACAATAACATGATACCCTATTATGGGCAGTTCAGGTTCCTCATTATCCAAAATTAACACTGGAAAAGTTAAAGAATGGTTATTAGCTGCACTATCTGTCAAGTTTAGGTCTACTTCAGCCCACCCAGCAAATTGCAGATCAGAACCATTTGCTGCATGATTTGTCAAACCCTGGTCCCAAAACAATTCACCTGGTGGTCTGATATTCAGTTCAGGTAGATTCCCTTTTCACCCAATGAGAAGGGGTTATTGTCACCTGGGTCCCAGTATCCCACAGAGCAGTGGTGTCTACCCCATCAATAACAATGTACCAAGCATTTTGTTCCAAACATCAAGATCATTCTTTGCTGATTTGTTACTGTGTTAATATGAACCTGTCCAGTATACACATTGTTCAAGTGCAGAGTGAAATCTGAAGCTTCTGCCTCCTGGTCTTGGGACGTTCGAGACTCAGCCACTCCTTGCCCCGTCGTAGTGACCTGCCTTGGTTTCCCCAACTTGTTTTAGCTTTTCTTGCAGCCGGCCTTGAAGAAATCATTGTGACATCATACTCTATACCTTGCATCACGTCACGCATAACTAGTTATGACTTGACAATTATGTTATCAACCGTCTGTTGATTAACATCATTACAATGAGACAGTATTTTTAAAAAACAGGGGACCTAATTTCTTATTCAATTTTAGGATTAAACACCAGACAAAATACAACCAGTTCTGAAGGGCTAACACATATTTAATTGGACCAGAAGACTGTTATGAATGGACATATAGCTAGAAAAGATGTTTTCCTGAATATTAGGACAGGAGAAGAGAAGTTCTTTTGTTACAAAACGTATCTAGTTGTGCTTGAGAGCATACAACAAGCCAAGCAGAGTGCTTGTGATAGTGCCGTTTCTTTCAATCATGGTAGTAACTTTGTAATTTGATTAGATAGTGACTATTCTTTGCTTTGTGTCATTTTAACCAGAATGTTATGGTGGTGAAGGGGTCCAGGTTATTTACCTTAATGGATAATAAATGGTGCTTGAAAGTTGAGCTGCTATTCCATATTCTGTAAATCTTAAAATTAATGCATCTCCAAATTAATACGACTGCTAACCCCAAGCCAAAAATATGACTCAATATCATGGTGCCCATTCCCAGTGGAATGATACTTTTCCTTACCTTAATCCAACCTTACCTGAAGCCATTCAAACAGCAAATAGCACAACTCATCAGCGCTGAGTAGAGCACTTCCATAAAAACAATTTACAATGTTTTCTTTATATGTTTATTCTGTTGACTGGCATTAAGGAAGTGCAAAGGCAATAAAATAATTGAACCTCAACAATTCACTGATTCGTATGCAGAGAAGGTGTCAACTAACTTAAAGGCAGATGACAAGTCAAAGGCTGTAGATCTGAGGAGTGTGATGAAGCCAATCGGTGCGTGTTGGGTTGTGTCTGCCTTTGACAAAGTGTTACATGGGTGGCATCTGTTTGGACTGCTGGTCAATGAGACCTAGTTTGACACGAGTGGGTACAATTCTTGGCCCCAGATGTGATAAGTCACCCGATGCCTATTGTGTAACTCCTATTCTTGGAATAACATTGTTATATACTTGTTGCAACTGCAACAATATACCATGTTTGTGTTTATATTCAAGTTGGTATTTCCACTATCCAAAGTGTGCAGAGAGGCCGTATTATTGCTGATAGTCATTTTGGAGACATACATGCCAAGGTTCATTAGTATGAACAAAGACTACTCGCATTTTTCGCATTTAGGTCACACTAGTGTTAATTTCAAGACTTACAGTATATGGAATATTCCAAAGCATGAGCGGAGCTCATATGTGTTCATATTATTTAGATCAATACAGTTGTCATGCAGTGCATGTGTAAACAATGTTTTCGCTCAAAAGGTTTCCGAAGGATAGAATATTAATATGGGGAATTATTCCAGTGTTTGTAAGATACTGGCTGTGGAAATATAATACTGGATAATTTTACCAAGGATATTACTTTCTCCCAGGAACTATCTCCAGGGGGAATAAATATCCTAATTTTTAAAACTTGTCTTATCTCACACTATGCTTTTCTCCTTCTTCACCATGGTCACCTCCCAACAATCTGGGTCACACTTGCTCTTTATGCAGGTTGATCTACCCATGCTGTACATGTGGTTTCCCCAGCCAACTCATTCTCTTTCTTAACACCACACTGTGGAGACATGTAATGATATTAGAGAAATTTGTTTTCTTCTCAAGAAGTCCCTCCACTATCATGTCTAATTTATGTTAGTAATTTTGGGAAAATGGGAGAGATTGTGTCTGTCGTGCTTGAAGCACACAAAACAAGACATGTCTCCTATTTCCCCAGCTGCAAGAACGGGGATCAAAGCTTAAAGAGATGGAGCATGACCTCCACAGATCGTGACACCTCCCAGGATTGGCACACCCATCAAGATCGGCGCACATACCAGGGTCGACGCACTTCCCAGGTTAGGCGAACTTCCATGGATCGCCGCACAGCCCGGGATTGCCACACTTCTCAAGATCAGCGAACTTCCCAGGTTGAACACTTCTCCACTGAATGACACTTATCCAAGTGTCAGCGATCAAGGGATCGGTAACCTACACTTCATCGTTCATGAAGGGACATTTCGGATCCTTTGCGTTACTTTTCTGAGGATGACTTACTTACTGATTCGATAGGACATTTGTCAGACTTAAATCACTCCTTTCCTCTAGTTTTTGGGAACGTCGCCAACACGATTGTTTGTTTATTTGCTGTTAAACGCTGCACTCAGCAATATTTCAGCTATATGATGGCAGTCTGTAAATAATCAAGTCTGGACCAGACAATGCAGTGATTGACATCATTAGCAATGCTATTATGACTACCATCATCAACACCGAGTTTCCTTGAAATCATTACAGTGCTTAAGCAAACTCTCCACATGATTGGGAATGCTACTCCCAGCCCATGGACTTGTACCCTTCTTTTGCACAGATACTCTAAGGATTTTCTTTGATTCCAGCTCCCCCGGCACAGGTTTTCTTGCTCTTCTTGACGAGATTTATATTATCACTGTCGCCGGTGTAACCGTCACAGTGTTACAACATTGACCACATCATCAACCATCACTCCCCTTTGATGAGGGAGGCGGCACTATCACTGCTATCACGATGACCACTGCTTGTGTGCACTATGACACGCGTCTACAGTCGTCACACATTCAGCTGACCATCCACCCGTACTGTACAAATCATGTTTGGTTATTTCTATTGCATTGACATTTCTAAAAAAATCAATGAGTTCCTGTTGAAAAAAATGCTACAAGCAGCGTAGAACCATACTTGCATACTCACTCACTCATTTACCTTAGCATTGCTTGGATTTAATCAACTATGTTGGTTTGGGGGCGTTTTGACAGTCTACATTGGCATTACCCTCCCTTACCTACTTCACAGTTTCACCGGACTTGCAGTCAGCGTTTTCATTCCATCTGTTGCTCAAGAAGATTGCCTACTTATTAACGATCAATAGCAGCAATTTTCCCCTCTTAAGGTAGACATTATCAAGTGACTGCAGATTGTTTGGTTTGTGTGTCGCCTTGACAGATATCCCATTTCCTATTTATTTACATACATTCAAATTATTTAGATGATAACACGGATATAAGTTTGCTTGTGCACCTGTCCCATCATGCCTTCTACAAGGAAGTGGCTGCAGGTACACCGTTATCTCTTTGGAACTTGGGACACTGTTTTTATTCATCTTCTCTACAGTTTTCCTCTGTTGGTCACGTGACGGAGGTGTGTGGAGTTTTTTCACCACAAGCTAAGGCAAGAATGTAGACTGGTTTGGCTGCCCTTGAGCGCTTGTGATCCTCAGCACATAAGAAGCTTTGAGCAGGCATGAAAGAGAGGATACCAATCTGGGCAAGGATACAGTATTCTCCGCACAGGGATATTTTTCATATTTACGTGTCAGTTTCTGTTTCTCTGGATAGTAAACAAACCTGCTTATCCTGGCATTACCTGACGGACCTGACGTGAGCCAATCGTCACTCTTTATTTACTGTTGTAGAAGTGACAGTAAGTAGATCTCCATTGATTTATACCTTACCGTGTCTGAATCTCTAACTTTCAGTTCGACCTTGATGTCATGATAGCATTTCACTATGCTTAGATTGAAAAAAACGCTTCATGGTGCAGGATTGACCCTGCTTTGTTGATCATCATGTTTTTTATGACAGTTCCTGCAGGAATATGATAACAAGACCAACGAGTGATGTGAAATTGTTGCCACCAAACTCCTTTTTGTCAACGCCTCAACCATGGGTTTGGGAGCTCATTATCAGGATCTACAAGTGGCAGCCTCTTCGACATAAACAACTTACCGAGTTCAAAACAGTGATCTTGGCAGTGTCTAATTGGGCGACACATCTTCGCGACAATGTATTTGTCGTTTGGTGCATATACAAGATCAATTCACTCAACATTCAAGTTCGACTTGAATTTGTTCACCGCGCTCATTCAACTAGCAGTCCGAAGGTTTTACTGTCTACCTCTAAGGAACGATCTTCTTCTGCAGTCTCACTCCCAGCTGCTTCACCCATCCCTCAACACCCTTCATCTGTCCGTTTGGCACATTTACAGAAATCCCTCGTTGCCAAAGAGTACTCAAGACAGGTGGCCAAATCGATCTCGGAAGCTCATCATTCGTCAACCAAGTCCCCATACAACAAGTGGAAGGCTTTTGAGGCCTATTGTCACGTGTGGGGTATTTCGTCTTTCCACAACAGATTGCTGTATATCTTCACCATCTCCGGTCATCATGTAAGCTAACAGGTTCTACTCTAGCTACATACTTGGCTGCATATAACTCCATTGTTGCTACTACTACTAGGGCTACGTCTCCCTGGTCGCCAGATTACAATCCTACAAGTTACAAGTTGGTGAACTAGTCCTCTGGGTTTCGTCCCCGACCTTGGATATGAACATCATACTTTGCCATCTCACTTCGTCAGATTACGAATCATTGTCTGAGAAAGATTTTGAGCGCATAACTTTTAAAATGGTTCTTCTCTTGGCTCTAGTGTCAGCTGCTCGAGTCAGCAAGATTCGTGCTTCAGACATCAACAGAATTCGTTTTGAACGCACTTTGCATGTGAAAGTTTTCTTGGGCTTGAGATGGGATTTTATCGCCAAAAATCAACTTCAGGGCCAACCTGATTTGTTATTTAATATTCCTCCTTTGGCATCTACTTTGAATCCTGAAGATACCGAAGATGTATCGTTGTGTCCCGTACGTGCTCTTCGGATTTATCTTGGTTCAGCGAAACCTCTTCAGCATTCCCGGAAGAGACTTTTCATCCCGCTCTCTACAGCAGGGGTAACGGAAGTATCCCATACCGCGATTTTGTTTTGGATTCGCTTGGTCATACTTGGAGTTTACACATTTCCTAGCCTCCCTACTCCGGTTGCTACCATCCCCCACGAAACTCGTGCCATCACCTCTACTATGTCTTAACACAGTAATTGTAACTTGGCTGCAGTTATGGAGGGATGTTTCTAGAAATCAGATGCGGTTTTCTCCAAGACATTTCTGTGATGGACGTCCAAGTTCTACACCAATATGGACCCTTGGTACTTGAACAACAGGTCCCCATGACATACCTGCGCAAATAGAAGTTGACACATACTTGTTTCATTGTATATATTAATTTGGCACATTTTTCTCAGCCTGAATATCGGATCGTAGGATATTTCTCTTGTCTGTAGAGTCTTCATCACAAAGTGGCCATACAGTGCGGCTGGTTTACCTGTGTCCCGATCCTATATTCCACTCACCTCTGCCTTTGTATGTGTGTTGTTGGGTATTGGATCGACGATCCTCTTGTGGATATGTGTAGTATAAAGCACATACAAAGGTTTTTATGATATTCTGCGGATTTGTATCCTAAGGATGAGGGTTTTAAATATCATAAAAACCCTAGGGGAACTATTTTATCTCACTCACTGGGCTACAGATACAAAGGTTGTGTGTTCGATCCTAAGGAATATAAAGAAAACATTTGTCATTTGAGTTTACATTTCATGCCATTGTGTTCAAATGCATAACAAATTTCTAGCGAAAAACATTGATATCCTAAAAAAATCCCAGGGATATTACACCATCCATGTTTATGAGATTTAACCCGACTGGAGAACAATGGGATGACATCACTGGAGGTTTATAAGGTAGATCATTTCTTCTCGTCAAACCAACCGATTTGAATCCCTGCATGGGTTCAAGGGTTTGTCGAAGCGTTTAAAGAGATGCCAAGCAGGCATTTTATCGTCTGGGGGAGATAAGATACCCCGATCTTGAAGAATAGATCTGCTTGATTTAATTCAGAATCATTTGTAAGTAGTAATCATTTTGTTTAGCTTAAAGATTATGCTACCCTCCGTTGAACATGATTTACATATAAGACTTTATTCTTTTACCTCTGTTCACATCTCAGGATCACAACACTTTGTGGAGTGTTTCATCCCTATTTACGTGCTTTGTCTTTTGACACTAGATAAGCGATACTTAATATAGTTTTGTATCGTTATGTAGTTCCAGCTTCATCGTGTTATCCTCTGGTTGTAGCCTCTACTGTGTAGGCTAGGGAGTTGCGCCCACCTTCCAACCGTTTGATAAATGCATGGTGTGAGATAGGATAAGTTTTAAAATGTTCAAATTTTACAATAAAGTTATATTTATATAACTATCCTATCTCACACGTTATATGCCCACCCATCCATCCCTGCATCACAATTCGTCTATCCTATTAAGCCCAAGAAAGAGAATGAGTTGGCTGGGGAACCGCTTGTTCAGCATGGGTTGACCATTGAACATGGGTAGGTCAACTGGTATGAAGACCATGTGTGGCCCAGATTATTGGGAGGTGACCATGGTGATGCTAGGTGTGTTCAGGTGAATTGCTTTTTATAGTCTGGAAACCTTTGTTTAAGTACGTTTTGCACTTATGATCAAAGGTGAGGTGAGGTGAAATTGGGTTTAACGTCGCGTCCAAGATTATTGCACTTATATAGCGACGTGTATGATCAAAAGATTAAAGAGAAATGCATAGTGTGAGATATGATAAGTATGTAAATATACAATTTATTGTAAAATTTAAAGTTACATTATTTCATTTGGCATGTGTTTTCCTCAACTAGAAGTGGTTATAACTATGTTATTAAGGTAATCAATGAATACTTAATTTTACTGAATTTGGCAAGTGTTTTCCACAACCAGAAGTAATATCATTCAACCAGAAATGAATTTTCTTGTTAAGTTAACTAGAAGAAAACTAGATTTTACTGCATTTGTAAGTATGCAAGTACTTGGAAGCACTTTTCTTATTCACTTATTGATGTATTCTGGATTGAAGAGAATACGTCAATTTGAGTAAAGAAAGCAACAGATCTCTTTGTGTTAAAATAAAAGTAATGTTTTTTGTATTTGTCCTTCTTGTACTTTCATTGTTATTTTCAGGATAATTAATGTCATAATTATTTGCTCAATAGGGCCAGTTTTCATATTAGATGTTACAATGATTGATTGACCTGAAGTTTGAGTAGTCAGTGAAAAATTCTCCAAGGACAGATCTAGAGAATGGGGAATTCCAAACTGATATTTTGTAATGTATATATTGTTTTGGTTGTAAAATTATTGACAGGTGTACTGGGGTATATGTACCTTGGAACCACCACCACTCTTAGGGACCTACCTTCTGATATTCGAGGGGTGCAGGTGAAGGGATGTGGCAGGAATTTTGAAAAATACTGGAAAAGAATCACTTTACCTCTTGTTTTACACAAAAAATAAATTGTTCATATATCTTGAAGCAGTGACTGAAAACACATTCTGTCACCAACAAACACTCCCCAGGTACAAACCCCACAAGAAAATTACAAGGTTGGTTCTTTATGAGCAGCCTTTGACAGTTATGCATTTGATCGATTTCTGTTGAATAGAAACCAAACTTTGTCAAATTGGCACAGATGAATAATGTTGAGATAACTATATGTACATAAAATAAAAATATTAACACCTCATTGTTAAATTGTTTGGTATGCCATTGTTTGTCATTTTATGTTTGTTTATGATCCTGCCTGATGAACATATAAGCATTGTCAACTCATTTGTGCCATTTCTTGGCTGATTTCGGTGGATATGGCTCCAGTAGGTTGTTCATATATACTAACGGGAAATATTAACTTTGCTTCATATCAAGTAGTGTGAATGTTATAGAAAATAACATATTTGGTCATTCATAGGATCAGTGGTTTATCATAACAAATTAATTGACAAAACCCATACCTGGAAACAGGAGGCAGAGAGATGCACCCTAAAAGTGGGGTGTTGTACAACTCAATGTACAATGTCAATATTAGGTGTGACCACAAGTTGCTTTGATACAGGCAAGGCAGTGTCGGCGCATTGAAGACTGAAAACAGCCTGGTGGATGTTCCAAAAGTCCAACAAATTGGCTCAACTGAGCTAAGCAAAGGTTGGCCCAACAGACCTAGCACTGCCGGTTAGTCGACACCAAGCTAGGCATACCTGATGGTGATGTGGAGGCAAAATTGGGTGTAAAGCTTTTGTTGGGGCCAGATGTTGTGCTCCCTCAACCCGTTGTGTATGGTTCTGCCACTAATTGGTGTGAATCTACGAGTTTGTCCGAATTCATAATGTGGACAACCAGCCCATTGCAAGTCATGAGTATTGCCCTGCTGTAGATAACTTCTTCAAAACGATGATATTGTTTTTCAATGAACATGGCAAGTATCTGGCAACTTATTTTCGCTTTTCATGTTTGCAGCACACCCACGGCATGAAAACATTGATATTCAGCCAGCCTTATATTGCATAAGTGTTATTTACAGTTAAACAAAAGTTTTTTTATGATCACCTTACACCTAAAAAACCAACTGTGTGAATATCATGCTCCGAACAAACACCGAAACAAACGAATTGTGAATCCGACCTTAAAGTTGAGATGTCTAAATGAACATGTATTGAAAGATGCATTTAAATTTATTTTTATTGTACTTTACATGAAGTACAGTTACTTTTTTTGCAATAGTATATGATATCATTTCAATAATGTCAGTGTAGGTTTAAACATTTCCGTATTCCATTCAAAAGATTAACTATTAATGAGGACTACAAACATTCATACATACTGGGTAAAAAAAATAGCCATCTCCTTTTCTTTCATGTGGAAACTACTAGAGCTCCTTATATAGGGTGTCATGTTTCTATATTTAGCAAGTACATTACCTACCTGAGCCAAAAAAAATCTTAACACACACGTCACTCAAAAATAAAAGGTTCTTTTGATTACATGAGATCCATACTTCTGTCCACAGAAAGTTTGAAGTATTTCCATATGACGTCTGTCCGTCTGTAATCATAGTTTGTCCGGAGCATATTTCCTAAACCCTACAACCCAGCTTCACAAAACTTAGTACATTTAGCAATCAGGCTCAGGAGTAGTGCCTTTTGCCATTTAGAGATTTTTAGAATTTTTTATTTTTGTCGTTTCCATGGAAATATTATGAACTTAGGAAATTTGAGGGTACTGCTCTTGTCCGGAGCATATTTTCTAAACCGTACAACCTAGCTTCGCAAAACTTAGTACACTTAACAATCAGGCTCAGTTGAAGTGCCTTTTGCTATTTAGAGATTTTTAGAATTTTATATTTTTGTCGTTTCCATGGAAATATGATGAACTTAGGAAATTTGAGGGTAGTGCTCTTGTCTGGAGCATATCTCCCGAACCATACAACATAGCTTCTCAATTTTTTTTACGCCTATCAAGCAGGTTATGTAGTGGTGCCGTTGCTATTAACAGATTTTTTCTTTTTTTTTCTTTTTTCAATTTAAATTAAAAATTGGTGAACTTAGGGTAATGTCCTCGTCTGGAGCATATCTTCTAAACCATGCGACAGAGATTCACCAAACTTTATGCACATATCAATCATGTTCACTAGTAGTGCAGTTTGTTATTTATAGATTTTAATCTTTTTAATTTGTAGCCCCTGACATATAATTCTAAGGTGTACTGGGCGGTCGGGTAGCCTAGTGGTTAAAGCGTTCGCTCGTCACGCAGAAGACCCGGGTTCGATTCCCGACATGGGTACAATGTGTGAAGCCCATTTCTGGTGTCTCCCGCCGTGATATTGCTGGAATATTGCTAAAAGCGGCGTAAAACCTCACTCACTCACTCACTCACTCTAAGGTGTACTATTTACCGATATCATATACTATATATGATGTGAGCTACATAACCTAGTACATTCTCTTTATGCCTTTGTGTCATGAGGCTACTACAGAGCTATTCATATGCGAATCTGTGAAGTTATTGTTATTACAATTTCATGAGATCATCAGAAAGTGAGCTACATGAACCAATATTTAATAACCTTCATTATATTTCTAGTTTTGGCATCAAGGAAAAAGATTTCCTTGCCAATCTAAATACATTTGAAGGTACACACAGTTTACCCGACATGCCACATCGGGGGGATATGTCATCTTTGGATGACTCTTGTTTAAAGAAGGATTATGTTCTCAAGTTCTGAAACATATATTATTTGGGGGTTCCAGATAAGCTAGTTATTTATGCATCTTATATACTGCTCTTGTCATAAAGATAGTTAAACAAGGATCATTAACATTATTGAGCAACCCAATGTAAATGGGGATGTTTTACAATTTGTCACAGATTGACTGAGGTCCGGGGTTCGATCCCTGCAGCATCATACCATAAGACGTTAAAAGATGGTACTTGTTGTTATCCTGTCTGGCGCTCGGCTTTAAGGGGCTAAAACAAGGACTGGTCGGCTCGGAGTCAGTATACTGTGTCTGAGTGGGGTATTCATGTTAAACTGCGGCATGGTGTCTCAGTGAGCTAGCACTATAAACTCCGCATCAGTCCAGACTAGTACAAGCACGCACGCACTCATGCACGCACACACGTGCATGCACGTCACTATATAAGTGCAACAATCTTGGACGCAACGTTAAACCCAAATTCACCTCACCTCACCTTGGATGTCTCAGGGATATCTCCTTTTTAGCACTCAGAGAGTGCTGAACACATTGATCAGTCATGTCAATGGTAAATGTTATTAACAACGCGTGTGGTCTGACGTTGATTAATGAATAATTTGCACACTCGTATATGCAAGGGGCCGACGTATGCTTCTCAGTAGGAAGTGACAACTTGGACAAAAGGCACTATGTGCCAGGTCAGCACATAGTGGTAGTGCTTGTTGTCTTGGTGCCCCGGAGCACCCAGCCTAACCCTAGGTAGGCTAAGGGTAAGACCATTCTTTTTCTCCCCCTTTCAATCTCTCTGGACCATGGCTTATATAGCCCAGGTCACCTGACATTTTGTAAGTAATAAATATAAATATAAACAGTATTTCATCAGTGACATACTTGCACATCTCGTTCAGGATGGCAGACGGTCGATGTACACAAAAATGGGGATTAACAATTAGGATTAGAATCTTATAAATAACAGCAATTAAGTGTTTCAAGGCATATAGATGGCATGGCTCCAGGGTAATGAGCCTTTGCAATCAAATGTTCTTCAGACAATGGGTGTCGTAAATCAGTCGCTATGACAACTTCCCTCCGTTATGTGAAGCTTGGACCCCAAGCTAACATGAGTCCAAATTGATATGTGTGAACTTTTTCACCAACGAAAACAACCATGCAAATGTGAACAAAATCAGTTACATGAAATCCTTATGCAACAAATATATCTATGCAATGATGGTATGAAAGTGATCATCTAGCCAATTTGATTTAGTGCCACTTCAAAAACTAACCAAGTAATCTTTGGAATGTGCAATTTCACTTCAAGGTAATTACCGCTTTGCACAGATTCAATAAATATATCATGGAGGTTCTTTGAATTCAGGGGCGGTCGGGTAGCCTAGTGGTTAAAGCGTTCGCTCGTCACGCCGAAGACCTGGGTTCGATGTGTGAAGCCCATTTCTAGTGTCCCCCGCCGTGATATTGCTGGAATATTGCTAAAAGCGGCGTAAAACCATACTCACTCACTCACTCACTCTTTGAATTTAGGGGTCTGGCTTGGCGGTGCGACTCAGTACCGAATAATGATAATGAGTAATGTCATAAAAAGTACAAATTAAACATCTCAGCAAATAGTTCGCATAAAGAAATTTGAAACCAGGAGTCTAGCTTTACCGCGTGACTCAAACGGTACTTGTGGGTACTATTGCCCTTTTAAGTACAATGGGTGCTCTTCCCGTGTCTTTGACGGAGCTTGCCCATATATTGTGGGTGCGATGCCCAAGAAAAAAAATCATTAATTTCCACATCAAAACTCTGAAATGCTGAATACTGCTGTGCTGTTAATTACTTAATACTGACATACAATAAACATATGTGTGGGGGTGGCTCACCCAAGAATATCCCTAATCTGAAGTCCTAGACAATACATTCAATTATGTACCAAACTGTGCACATTAATAACTTGTAACAAATGACAAATTTTGTCGTTTAGATTTTTGAAATTACGAGTCGAGCTTTGAGGTGTGACTCGATAACCCTACAGCTTAGGTTTGTCTGGGCCCTAGCTGTATCTATATGTCTGGCGTGGCCTGGAGACATTTCAAAGATTCCCTACACAATAACTTCCTAGATCTAGCATGCCTAAAGATGTAAAATTGGAGTATATTGCACATATACAAAACTGAATTTTGGAAAGACACATTTTGGCATTAACATACTGGCTTTGATTAAACATACCTAGCTGCACTATTCAACAGTCACACAATATATATCCTTGATTGAGTCAATGTAAGTAAACACAAATTAGTAAGTCCCCATGAGATATCTTGAACACAGTATCCATCTTGTAGGTGCCCGTAAGGTGGTTTCTGTATTGTGCAGGGTCTGCATGAAGATGGCTGTGGTCGGGTCTCTGTGGGATAGGCGTGTATACTTCTTTTCTTAGGCCATGTGCAGGAACGACATCTTGAAGGGGAAGTCATAGCAGTGTTGCTAAGATATTGGAGCAGGGAAGGTTTGGGATCGGAGAACTTGTTCTTGATTGGAGAGGTTCTTGTTCTTTCTTCAATCTTGTTAAAGGCCGTTTCTTCGTTCTTGGTGATTGGCCTTCAGGAAGGTAGTATATCCTTTTAATAAGAGACTGTCACTTCCTACAGTATTGTTAACCATATGCCTTGCTGCAAAGAGGTACAGGAAAGGACAGACTAAGAAGTCTGTCATACCCGATAGCTCCACCAAATTAACAACGCGTGTGGTCTGACTTTGCACACTCGTATATGCAAGGGGCCGACGTATGCTTCTCAGTAGGAAGTGACAACTTGGACGACAGACACTATGTGCCAAGTCAGCACATAGTGGTTGTGGTTGTTGTCTAGGTGCCCCGGAGCACCCAGCCTAACCCTAGCTAGGCTAAGGGTAAGACCATTCTTTTTCTCCTTCCTCTCAATCTCTCTGGACCATGGCTTATATAGCCAAGGTCACCTGACATTTAGTAAGTAATAAATATAAATATAAACAGTAATTCATCAGTGACATACTTGCACATCTCGTTCAGGATGGCAGACGGTCGATGTACACAAAAATGGGGATTAACAATTAGGATTAGAATCTTATAAATAACAGCAATTAAGTTTTTCAAGGCATATAGATGTCATGGCTCCAGGGTAATGAGCCTTTGCAATCAAATGTTCTTCAGACAATGGGTGTCGTAAATCAGTCGCTATGACATTATCCTACGTCATAGCCTAAACAAACCTTTGCTTATATGAAATCTCGAGGATTTACAGTACATCAATAAGACTTGGTAATGTCATACTTTGGGTGGTTGTGAACTCAAAATGTTGTGAATGACCCATATAAGGTAAAGGTAACAGTGAATATCATGCGTGAGGAATGTTTTTCATTATAACTAAAATGGCTTTTTCCTGTAGAGATTTTAAAGTCTTTTGTAGTGGTTGTATCATTTGTATACTTATGTGTTACAGTGATGTTTTATTATAAGGGTAGTAGGTCATGGTGACCTACTTTCAATGAGTAGCAAATGTTAACTTTTCTTAGTTACAATGAATTCCAACCAGGGACATCATATATGGTTGATATGCTGTATGTCCCTGGGGATGACACTGATACTGAAGGCCAAATTAATTCTGAAGGTCATAGTGTAACAGGATATTGTATATATAGTTTTTAGGAATATAGTTTTAGCTCTTTTCATTTCAAGTAGTTGTATACATCTTCATTAGTTGTAGTACTAAATGTATATGCTTGGGTTAAGAGTCCAAGCGGTTGGTCCAATTTTATTGAAGGGTGGACAGGTTAGTCTATTCTTGTCCCTTTGTCACCAACTCTCTAGCTTGTCAATACAATAGCTTTCAGCTTCCTAGCTGATTAACATTATCTAACTACAGCTTTCCTCCCTAACATTTGTACACTTTTTATTCACTCTGCTTATAACTCTGCACAGACAGGACATGGACTACATATAGTTCAGGAATGCCACAATCCTATATGATGTGGGTTTATAGACACACCCCGGTTTCACCCACAGGGGTGATTGATCAATTGTGATTGATAATGGAATAAATGTCATCTCAACAAACACAACCGCAGCTTGTCATTTTTCATAATGAACCACCCCTGCTACAATGGAGCCCCCAGTGAGGACCTGACATTTCCATAGAGGACACATTCGTGGATATTGTGAGTTGCGCATTCCTTGACACTATAATTTCCTCCCTAGTTTATATACTTGTGCAGTAAGCAGTGACCTTGAACTTTGAACTTTCACCTTGTGAATTTTATGACTGTATTTACAGTTTCCGATTCGTGATTGACTATTCTTGCTCAAGAAACTGTAACAGACTTTATGGAAGCTTCCTTCATGGACACGTGATACGAACAGTTGCTGCTGATTGTCTTCCATTCTGTGATATTGCTACTCCATTATTTTTGTAATTGTAAATACTCATTCCTATTTTCATCCCTGTAACTTGATATTTGTAACTTAGAATATGTAATTATTGAGTTATTCACTAGTTCATTGTGCCGGCCAATAAACCGTTCTATATTGGTGTTACCTAGTAAGTCATTACCATGTAACCTTAGTTAATTACCTGTTGTTACTTAGTTAGTATTACAATAAAGTTGTACTGTGTAAACTTAGTATATTTATACACATTTAATTGTTGTTTACTATACAAGTATTTTGTTGTACCTTTTTTTCACTTAGTGTACACATCTACCATGAGGTGTTTATCTTAGCCATGGCTTCTTAGTTGTTTTCAATTACTTTAGTTTGCTATTTTGTTATTCTCTGTTATCAATTTTCTGGTAAGGTTCTTTGATTGTGTGAATGAAATAAACATGCAGTTGCTAAATTAATTTCAA